GTATTGCATAAAATGAATGCAACAAAAAAAGGGGACTCGCTCTGAAGAAATCGATTCAAAGAAAAAAAAAAACGCTTAAGAAAACTATGTTTCGCTTAAAGCAAGGCAATGAGACCTACCTACCTCTCTTAGCTTTAATATAATCCCTAAATAACAGAAACTATCATGTCGAAAAGCATTTTGATAAAAATCTTCATCATGTGAGCCCCCCTCAAGTACACGCTTTTATCGGGCATTTCTAGATTGGCTTAGTAAACATTTCTTATGCTGATCGTTATCTGCCGAAGTTGTAGATTATTTCTTGAATTTTTTTTAAATATACACAGAAATTTTGCGCTCTTTAAATCCATTATAACTATTTCCGGAACTGGTCTCTACAATTGAAACAAGATTATATCGATCAAATTTTAGATTTTTAAATCAATTAAAAATATTAAAGTCGTGCAAAATCAATAGTTAGATGATACCTTGTAGCCAGAGAATAAATTCTAAGACTAAAGTCTTCAAGCAATAGCATCTAAGGCTATCGGCTTTTATTAAAAACTCTAAAGCACTTGAGATTCGAACCCACGACCATTGAATTGTTACTTGAGACTCTGCCTACTCGGACACTCAGGTGGATCTCTTCTAGAATAACTCTTCATTTATTTTCGCGATAAATTATCAAAAACTTAATTCTTGTTTTCTCTTAGAGGCTTAGAGCCCTTACATAAACTGACGTGGCCTAAACTTTTTAAAATCAATATTCTTACCAAATATCTTATTATTATTCCCATAATTTCAAAATTAGTCTATGCTCCCATACAAAGGTTTACTTCTTATGAGTGCCGCCCTTACACGAAATGAGGTATAAAACATAGACTCACACGATCTAAATTTTATATATTAATCTACTATTATATATCGCACGGCCAAATATAAGTCCACCTTCCATAAGAAGAGATAGGGCTAAAAACATCGGCCCATCTAATCCAAATTTAGCTGACACGCTATTAGTCAAAATTGTAAAAATTGAAAAAAAAAAAATTTTTTTTTTCAAGAAAAAAAGTTTTTTTGAAATCCCCACTAGATGTGAAAAATAGATTCGAAAAAATAACCAACTTTGTACATTTTCTATAGGATTCGTTGTGGAATCAGCGGACCAAATTTGATTAAAGCATCATAAATAGGATGAATACAAAAACACAAGAACGGACGGGCAGATATCCTTAAATCAGTATAAAAAATAAATGAGTCTTGCTTTAATCCGTTCACTTATTATGCACGTCCGCACAATCTTAATGTACCCTATAACATAAGTTTTGTAGGTAGAGTACGTAAAGTATTTAAGCAATTTAGTCATAATCGCTTCACGATAGTCATCGCCATTCAAACCTTTAAACAGAAAACTCGTACTTTCGAAAAACTGCTACTTAATGGGAGAAAGTATGACTTGCAGCACAAAATGATTAATGTTTTTTAGTTGACCTAAGCCTTGTTAAAAACATATCCAAGCGCCTAATCGATGCACATACAATTGCTTTAAATTCCAAGGATGCTTGCAAAGAGAAGCTTCTTACTTCTTATAAAGCTTACTTCGTATATATGAAATCCATTAAAGAAATTTATGAAATTTAATATTCTGTCGGAAACTGATATTCTTTTTTTATACCATATATTGATTTGTTTATAAATGGTAACTCGCACGTTTCGGCATTTATTACATTTTGTCACTCACTCACTTACACTTGGTTTGTTCAACAAAATGAAAATTCTAATCCGTGCATTTATTTTGCTTATAGACGTGAATTGCATATAATATTAAATCATGATTTTCTATTTTCCTCTCTACATGTATATATATATATATATATATAAATATTTTCTCCCTTTATGTGCTTACATATGTACCAAATCTAATGTTGTGTTTGTTTAAAACAGGACGCTCCACTCTATCTTTTCTAGAATTATTATGTTACACCTGTGTGTGCGTTTTCTTCATTATAACGTGTTTTCTTCCTTTGGATTGTAATAACATAAAATCTATGCATATACCATACAACTTTTCTTGTAATAAAACAAATAAGAATGCTTTATATATATATATATATATGTACATATATATACGCATATATCGGGCAGCACCAACTGTTCGTTACTCTACGCCATTTTGTCGAATATAGTCATTCATTCTATTTCTTAATAGTGCGTTAAAAATTGTATATTTGTATTTTTATGTAAATGCATGAAGGACACTCACACGTCAACGGGATCTAAATTTAGCAAACTTAATTCACTTATCGAAGATTTTTTTATTTTCCAATTGCTTCCGTTATAACAGACCATAAAGTAGGCTTTGTCGTCATAGAATGGTTTGCTTTCATAAGGGGCGATATGACGCAGTCTAAATATAGACCTATGTGAACCATGATTTATTTTTTAAGGGAAGTGAAACATTTCAAAAAGTATTAAACTTTTCGGCATAGAAAGTCTTAGCCATTAGAACGTTTATATTAATTAGGATCCAGAAAATAGATCTACATGGTCCAAATTTGATAAGGTTAATCATTATGCCAAATTATTATTATGAGCAAACTTTCATCAAGCAATATTGAAAACTAGGCATTGTTACCAGACAAAGATTCAGTTTCCGTAGAAACGATCATATGGCAAGACAATTGCCCCATCCAATTCCAGGTTTTCACACGAATTTAGAATACCGAAATATTGTTATTAAGCGATTTTTATCACAAAATTCTAAAAATTACATATTTTTATTTGTAACGACTTATGAAAGTAAGGCGTCATATGGGGATTGGTCGGAAAAATGTGCTGACCCGTACCATTTTCCGTAGCGTTAATCTTCGGGCCAAAATACGTCAGCGTACCCGATTTCATTAAAATATCTCGAAAATTGCGTCCTGTAGGTTGAACACAAAAATACATGAACAGACCTCAGATGGACAGACAAGCTTAACCAGCCTATAATAAAAGTATAATAAGAGATGGGGCTATCTCAACTCGTTCTGGGTGTTCTAAACGTCCGTATAAACTTAATATACCCTGTGACACAAGTGATATAGGATATATATATATATATATATAATATATATATATATATATATTAGAAATAAAATTAGAAGAGAAAATTTACAATCACGTTGAGATGAATTTTTAGATACCCACTAACTCAAACTAATTGACAAGTATTTACTCATCTTGGAAAAACTCTTTGTTACCCAAAAACCTTAGATTCATCTTTTATTTAGAATTTATCTGGAAATCGACTTTTTCAATATCTATTTATCAATTCATCGATCAGAGATCGGTTTTTGCATAGGGCTTTTAGTTTATATTAAGCAACAGTCACATATATCAAGATTCAGATAAGTATCTGTTATAAGGTGTATTGCGGGTCTGTGCGTAAGCAGATAATGCCCCTTTTTCAACTTACCTGCTGTTTCCAGCTAACAACTGCAATCCATTTTTTTTTTTTGCTTATCATGAACGAGATTGTGGACTCATCTTTAAATTTGAGATACACAGACCGTCAATTAACAATTTATATGCATTCTATGTAAATTTTTTCGACCGTCGGTTTTCCATCCAATGATGGGCACTGCGAGAATCTTACTTACTTGACAATATTATACACATATCCTCATGCTCCTCATATATTCCATATTTCGATGCATTACCAGTGAAAGGATAAATCTAATACGGTCGCATTATTTGGCGGTGAGTATGAAAAGTAGGCTAAGAACATCTAGTATATGCACATTTCCAGGTGCCCGTCATCTGAAACGTTTTTAAATGTTGTCTTAATTATGATTGTCTTACATATACATTCGTAATATCTTTAATGCAAATTTACCCAAAAAAAGTTTTTCTCTTTGCGTAAGTGTTTAGATAGCATTTCGTAATCTTTTAGTAAATGAGAAATTCTTAGTTGTAATTATTGCTGAATTATTGCCGAACACTACACATCATATTTATGTTATTATAATAATTGTATAATAATAATAATGATTGTAATGTAATTTAATTTTTAATTGTTTCTGTGTAACGCATCGATATTTAAAGTAAGTAAATAAATATTTGATATAACATTTTCTTATATCTTTAGATTTCTCAAAAAAAAAAAAAAAAAAAAAAAAATTTCTATAAAATTGAGATATAGAATTGATTTATATCCGTTATATCTGTTTATCGAGCAAAGGTTACAATGTAAGATATGGAAAACGAATCAAGTTTTAGAATCGATGGCCATGACATGGTACAAACTTGTCTCGTATTAGCCATAAAAGTAATGAAAATTATTAAGAATTTTTTTTTGTTTTTTTTTTGTTTTTGTTCTTTATTCATAGTCGAAATATGCAAAACGGATATCGATTTGCAAACGCACAACTTTTATCATATATTCAATATTGGCACTTACCATGACAATTGAAAAGTTCTTATTATTACACCTTTCATTAAACATAATAAATTTGTCCGAACTTAAGTGAAGATAGTCGCTGCATAAGCATTTTACCGGCCTATCCCAAGCTTTCTTACCAATCGTATAGCAATTAAGAAAACACAAAAATGCTATGTGTTAACCAAGCAGGCTATAAATCAGGAAATAGTTATGCTAATGCTATAATAAAATTACTCGAGGAGATTAACCCAACTTAAGATGAAGAAGACCTTAGAATTTTGCTTATGATAGGTTTTTTTTTAAAGCTTTTCTTATTGCTGGCAGATCTTTAGAATAGACATCAGTGTATCAAGTTTAATAATTCTGCTTCTATAATATTTTGGATCGATCTTGTTCGCTGCCTGCAGTACTAGCTTGATAAGATCCTCCTCTCATTATGGAAACATTCACCTATATGCTAAAATACGTTTGTAATAGCCGCTGCAGTCCGCTTCGAATTCGGAAGGCACCTAAGCATGTCTGTCTGTTCATCTGCCCATCTGCGCATCCGTGTAGTATCTGTGATAAATATTATCTCTCATTCGCAAAAATGAAGTTGTCGCCTTAAAAATTTACAAAAGAATTCGAAAATGACTCAAACCAAAGGGCATATAACACGCCTACAATATCCACCATCCGTTAGCGGCAAAAACTTTCATTCTGAAAATAGAAAAATGTCAGTCGCGTCCGTCCAATATTATAGTGTATGAAAATTTAGTTTTTTGCCTTTTTGCTTAGTCTTTCTTAGGATAACGGTAATCAGTATAATTAAGTGCGTCACGACGAAATGCAATTTTTTTACCTGTTGTCTTTTTTTTTTTTTTCTATTACAAATATTACGTTTAATTACATCTGTTACAAGAACATAAGCACTAATCAAATAGTAGAAATGAAAGGAGCGCAGGGTGTAAGCAAAATGCGCCTTAGCTTTGATTGCTTTTTTAACAGTACGAATTAAATACGTATTCATTTCTTTCAATGTATTCAGCTTCAATCCGGTATTCAATTCTTCAGTTCAATTTTAACGGAAGCCGCCAGAGTTGCCCAGCTCAAAGGAATGGTAACGACAATGCGATAATTGGACAATATAATAACTTTATTACCCTATTAATCTGAAATGAATTCCAAGAGTGAATTGAGTCAACTCTTATCATTGTAAAAGGTGACTTAACAAACGACGGTAACTTTTTTTTATATTTTCTGACAAACAAAACAATTGTATTTTCGTGAAAATCGATTTCAAAATATATACATATATATAAAAAAAAAAAAAGGTATTAAAATGTCATGTTTCGGCTGTAGTCGTAAATATGGTCTCTTCTGTCGGGAGGTAAGAAAAAAAAATATTCCTTAAATCTGGAAAAATAAATTTCTAACTTTTCTTACCTCTAGTATGGCTGCCCAAATTGCGGTTATTCGTACTGTAGAAAGTGCCTGAAAAGACCAGTGGCAGTGCCGCGTCATAACAACAAAACGCTGAATGTGTGCTTGATATGCTTTGATAAATTATCCAAAATTCAGACATCGGAAAAAGTGATTGATGTCGAAGCGTTGCCTGGTACACTGGTATCGATATCAGGCAAAGCTGAAGGCAACGAAAATACGTTAAATGCTGATATCAATGCATTATTGAAATTGGAGCCATCCGCTGTTTTAATTGGCGATGTTCTTGAACCAGTTTCAGCAGGCAAAGCAAAAGCCGCCGCTGATCATTCAGATATTAATGAAAATTTGGATAGTCAGATAACGAAACGTCTAAAAAATTTAAAATCAACTGAACAAGTTATTACAGATGATGAGTTACGTACTCGTTTAGCTAATTTAAATGGCTTACCTCAGAAGGATTATTCGAAAAAGGATTTACTATTAAACACTGATCAGCGTACTGATCAAGAAAAGATGAATGATTTATTGAAAGAATTTATGAGTGAAGTGGAACTGAACGAACGTTTGGAAACGGAACGCGGCGAAGCTGTTAGTGATATAGAAAAACGTTTAAGAGCGTTAAGAGATACCCCAGTAGATGATCGCCCCTCTAAAAATTCAGCAACTTCACCTGAAAGCAATACGCCAAGCGATAATGAACAAGATGAGGAAGCAATGCTGAAAATAATTATAGAAAAGGTAATAAAAACAATTTTTAAATTAGTTTTTTACGTACAATTTTTGTTTTTCTAGTATTTGGCCGAATCGCACTTACCTGCCGCATCTTCTGACTTAGAAGCCGAATTAAATGCTGAAATACCCAAGCCTCCAAAGGATAGCGTGGACACTGAAGAATTGCCTTGGTGCAATATCTGCAACGAAGACGCTGTATATCGTTGCAAAGATTGCGATAATGAATTATTTTGCGCTCATTGCTTCCGCGACTGCCACGAAGACGACGAAGAATACCGAAATCATGTCAAAGAAAATTTCAGTGCTCCTCCTAAATTTAAAGAAAACCACTTTTAGTTGCTGTTATTTCATTTCATTTTTTTTTTCTTTTTTTTTTATCGTTAGATATTTTTTTATATAGTTTTAAGGCATACTTTTAACAAAATCTTAAACTATGTAAACGAACAAAGAGTTGGGCTTATGCAATATAGTAGTAAAAAAAATATATTTAAAAATTGAAAAACCATATAAAACAGATATTAACATTAGGTTTGAAAAACAAATCTAATATTGGACTTTGTTTTCAACCTTAGTATATGTATATACTAAACGCTTTTTCTTAACTCTCCTTTCTTTCCTATTTCAACTCGCGTTTGTATGATTATTAGTTGCGTAGTCGCGCTTTAAGTCTTATATGTTAGATACTTAATCTCTACGCTCCGTTTCACGATATATAAGATTTCTATCAAAATTGGTCATTGATTTAGGAGGTTTCTGAATTGTTAACTTTCCCTCTTTCTCACCTACATATATGCTAAGCTTGCATTATTATTATATTATATTGCACAACGGCAATTATACATCTTATAGCGCATTCATTAGACACGTAGTTTTTCCAAGAACTTTGGAACCAAATGTTGTGCTGAGTAACGTTCAAATGTGAAGTATTCAAAAAATTTTTCACGTTGTTTACGGAATAGCACTGGATTACGGCACCAATTATAAAGCATTTTTATTAGTTGATTTGACGTATTGTAGAGATTTTCTTTAGGGTACAATTCAGGATAAACCAACTTATTGGGAGCTATAGGCATACAGCCACAGTAAGTAGCTTCCAGCCTACAAGAGAAAGGAAAACATGAGGCTGCAAAAAGTAGTGATTCAGGTTACATACATAGCCACTCCATAGAACTCATGACCCGCTGTTGATATAACCACATCACCATCCAATAGAGTTTTAATGTATTTGTCACGCGGCAAAAAGCCAAAATTCACCAGTTTCGCGCCCAGTTTCTCTTGTAAACCCTCAAAAGACTCGGGTGACGTTTGATATGTTTCCCCACATATAGTTACTTTAAAATCCACTTGACGTTTATTTAACTCTAATAAAACTTCAACCAAAAGATTTGGATTCTTGTCATGTTCCCAGCGATGAGGCCAAATTAAATGCAAGCAATCATTCGGATCTTCATTAGTTAATAAAGACATTTGCACATCACCTCCGATCATAAGGCGCTTATTAGGGAAGGCATGAAATTTGATAGGAAAATACAATACTTCACATTTTTTTTCAATTTTTTCACGCAAATGTTTCAACTTCAGATCCGGTTGTACATTTAGAAAAGGTGTAATATTATCCAAAAAGGAAGTACGATTGAAATTGGAATTAAAAATTACATAATCAGCAGCCAGACTACAATAAACAACAGCAGAAACTAATTCATATACAATACGTTGTTAGAGCAGCAAGGTGTTAATTAAAAAAAATTTACCAAGTGAGGATTTGATTTAGACCATACTGACAATCTCTCTCCTTTACCTCGCGTACTGGATATATTAGCTGATTTTCATGGAAATAAACAATCTTTTTACAATTGCCTAGATCTGGACGCACGCCTATTAACTCAGCCAAATTCAAAACAGAACTGGTGAATACGACCTTATATTCATGATTTTGCGGTATGATTTGGGAAAAATATAAAGCACCAGTACGAGCGCGCCAATGCCATTTCTTACCTGGAAGACTAAACACCTCATAATCGCCCGCATTTAAGCCTTGAAAAAATAAGATAAATTTATAAAGAAAAAAAAAGCCTATATATCCTAAACTGTCTCGGTTACTTACATTCAATTAATGTGTCAACTAATTGTTTATGGCTACCACCATAGAATGGTTCAATAAGTAAAATTGAGGGTTTGGACATATTTTTTAGCAAAAAATTAAGCCGTCTCTTACAAAAAAATAAAAAAACAAAAAAGTTAATAAGATTTCATTCTTTTCTACACTTGCTAGTTATTTGCCTGTTATCCTAACAGAGTTGCCAAGAGTATGCTATTTGTTATTTTAGAAATTTTATAATAGAAATTCTTGCATTTTATTACAAAGTTTTAATCTAAATATATTCTTAGGTCATTACGGTTTTATAGTTAATTCTTTTCAACATCAATCAGATTGAATTCTTTTTACAGTGGTATCAAATAAGTCATTTAAAAAAAATAACTGTTGTATTTAATGGTACGTAAAAAAACAGCTGTCCATATGAACGCAGCAGGGAAGAGACCTAATGAGATTATATGATGATATATATATATCATCATAAAGTTAGCTAAGCTGGCGAACATTTAATACTTATTAGCTGTCATTGAGGAAGAGAAAACGTACTTTAGTAGTTGCTGTGTTTATTATGCAAATAAGCCATTTCTTAGAATTGCGTTTAATTTTCTTTATTCTGCTGCTACCAGATTATTTCAACTGTGAACAATAACCTTAAAATTTCGCATAACAAGAGATAAATATTATAAAAAGTAAAAGCGTTTATAAGAAAAATTAATTTTAATTCGAATATATATTTAAAGATGTCCATAATAGCAATAAAAACCGTAGAAGACTATGAAAAAATAATTGGGTAAATAAATTTCTTAGAAATGTTTTTAACTTTTACTTAACTATCCAGAATTTAGAGCGAATGAAGTTGCTGTGTTATTATTTTCGGCCGATTGGGCTGACCAGTGCAAACAGGTTGGAGATGCTATGGAAGACTTAGGTAAAATGTTTGGAGACAAACTGCGATTTGGTAAAATAATTGCTGAAGACTTCCCTGAAATTTCTATGAAACATCTGGTAAGTGAAATACATAAGTGCATTAACATTTCAAAAAGTAATAATTTTATTACAAAACACCAGATTGAAGCCGTTCCTACGGTGATATTTTTTAAAAAAGGCACTGCAGTGGATCGTATAGACGGCGTAAATATTGCTGCATTAACAACAAAATGTAAAAACCTTGGAGCCACAGTCACAAGTGACATACCTTTGGAAGAACGATTGAAAACTTTAATAAATAAGGCACCATTAATGATTTTTATGAAGGGCGGTCGAGATGCGCCACGTTGCGGCTTTTCTAAACAACTGATAGCTATTATAACCGAAACCGGGTGATTTCTTTAAGTCTATTCTACGAAATGAAAGTTATTCATTAATCTTATTACAGATTCCCGTATGAAACGTTTGATATTTTAACAGATGAAGAAGTGCGCCAAGGTCTGAAAACATATTCGGACTGGCCTACTTACCCGCAGGTTTACGTGAAGGGAGAATTGGTCGGAGGATTAGATATCATCAAAGAACTTCAAGCTAACAATGAATTAGAAAAGACTTTAAGGGGTGAATAGATTTAATAAACGAACAAATAAGACTATTTTCACTCACAAAAAACCTCAAGTTTTTATTTTTTATTATAATAAAAAATTGTGTTATTAAAATAAGAATTATGGTTGTGTTCTCAATACATAACACCTAATCGCAGTACTTGTCTCTGAGGAGGACTTGTTTTAGTCTTAAAGTAAGTTAGAAAAAATCTACGCTGTACATAAGAGGGTGTTGTTCGTAAATAGTTCGCATTGCCTAGGCCAAAATATTTTGTTATTATAAATACTAGGCAGTGTGGCCATGTTTAAAAGAAGCACCCAGCCAATAAAGCCACCTATGTAGCAACATATAAACAAAATTCGTTTCCACAGTTGTTGTTGCCATAATTCTTGAAGATCGGGTAAGCCCATGTGGTTACAAAATGCGTGCACTAAAAACGGAGCTATGAAATGGCCGGTACGAGCAAACAAATAAGCCGAATAGAAACCAAACAAGGTGGTATATGCCAGCTGAGATACTGTTTAGAAATACCATAAAAATGAATTTAAACTATCAAGTACAATAATCCAAGATAAACTCACGGGATATAATTAATGCCGCAGTAAAGTCCATACCCATAGTTAAACGTTCGATTATATGATGTACGTGGGCTATACCGAAGAATAACGGTGTAATGAACACTGAAGCTAAAGGGGAAAAACTTTGTAATATCAAGGGCATCATACAGGCACGAAAAACAAATTCTTCACTTAAAGGGGCCATAACATGATTACGAATCCATAGGATGTTTTTAAATGAACTTTTCCAAAACTCGAAGTCTGTAATAAATATTTGAAAATTTTGAATATAAAAATAATTCATTGCGAACGTACCAAAGAACAGTTTTTGCGATTCACTTTGGAATTCAACACATAACGGACCCAAAAAGAGCAGCATTGTCAATAGGTATGGTATCAAGATGGCCATCAATAGCCCGTGCCATCGCAAACCAAGCAGTTCGTTAAATTGTACCCTTTCCATTAATTCAGTAGAGGAAAAGCTATATAAAAAGACAGGCGCCACTAACATGACTACAGAAACACTAAGAAAGCGTCTCTTTACTGTGGCGGGATGATCTCGATTATGTTTATTATTCCATATATACAATGATGACACATATAATATCGACATGGCCAAACAGCAGCTTATGGTGATAATTTTTGATACACGCGGCACCGTTTCAATAACACTTATTTCGAACATATTGTCGGTATTGTTCGTTTCATTCATATTTTACTTGTTAAATACTTCATTCATCATCAATAGAAAGTATATACGATTTCGTATAGCATCGAAGTCCTAAATAATTTTTTAAATTTTGACAATTAGTAAAATGCTTCAGCGGTACACAACCAAAAAAATAAAAATGAATATTTGCTCATTTATTTTGCCTCCATCTTTTAACTACATTTGAGACCTCAAACATTTTGGTGCTGGCGATTCTAGCTCTTTCATGTATTGCAATGAAAAATACATTATTTCACTACAAATTCTACCTGAAAAGCAAGAAAAATATTGTTCGCAAAATTATAATGAATTTCATTCATTACAATATTTTATCTGATTACGATTCTTACAACTTTATATTATCAAATATTATGTTTATTATCTGAAATGAAATGAAATGCGGCAAGAAATGGGAATTAAATGGGAAACGAAAGTCATGCAAGTGCTTCCATATATTTTGTAAGCGGATATATTTCCATTTTTTTATTTGAATTTTCATAAACTAATAACATAACATACTTCTCGTTGAATTTTCTCGATTGTTATTAAGTTATTCAATTGTGTCGTGCTATATAGTCGAATTTGTGCACTATAAATTTTAGGTTTCACTTTTACAATAATGTTGTTACAACAGAGTTGCATGTTACTGTTTGGTAACATTAATGCACAAAAATAAAGAATTAAAAATATATATAAAAGAGATAGGATATTAAATATACGCCTTAATGAACCTAGAATGAAGAAAGAGTATAATATATAAACATGTATATACAATAAAATGTGTGCAAGCTCGTTTTTTCTTTCCTGCACATGTCTAAATTAATAAGAAAAATAATCGATGCTAATTTCGGATATTCTGCTTTTTTCATCTCAATTGTTTAATTGTTTAATGTGCTCATACGCTGTGCCATTTGCGCCTTATTTGTAGCACTTATCTTTAATCGTTTTAAAGAACCTAACAGCATTACCATATGTTAGGCACAAGAAACCGGCTGCTATTTGTATCGTCTTCATTTCTCTGATAACAATTTTTCTTCTCATTTTTTTGTTCGAAACTAAAAGAGTTCAAAGTTCTCTTTACATTTAAATTAATTAATAAACTTAACTTTGTTTCTGTTTAATAGATAAAACAGAACATTCAATTATAATTTTGGAAACCGGAAATTTGAAAATCAAGCATGTTAAGTATACGTCAAAATTTGTTCAAAAAGGTTAAAGTTGCTTTCACATTAGCTTCTTCTATATAAGTCTTAAATTTGTACCAATTCTTTAGGTTAACAATTGGCAGCAAATTCGTAATTTAAATCTATTGGAATTTCAAAGTAAAGATTTATTGCAAAAATACAATGTGGCCATTCAGCAATTCCAAATATTGGATAGTTCAAACAATGATAAGACTGTTCTGGAGAAATTTGGTAAATTAGATGATTTTTCTCATTTTTCTTATAACTCATAGTAACATAATTTGTAAAGATTGCCCCGAATACGTTGTAAAGGCCCAAATACTAGCAGGTGGTCGTGGCAAGGGCGTGTTCGATAACGGCTTTAAAGGAGGAGTGCATATAACTACCAGGTATTAACGATTATGGCACTAAGCGCAACGCTTTTATTAATATTTTTATCATTCCAGCAAAGAAGAAGTGCTGAATTTAAGTAAAAAAATGATTGGGAATCGTTTAATCACAAAACAGACGCCCAAATCGGGAATTACAGTGAAAAAAGTGATGGTAGCACGCAGCGTAAATATTATCCGTGAAACTTATTTATGTATATTACTTGATCGTGAACATAACGGCCCAGTGTTGATAGCTTCCCCTGCTGGTGGAGTTGATATAGAGACTGTCGCTGAAAAGACTCCCGAGAAAATTAAAACTGTACCGCTTAATATTGATCAGGCCATACCAGAACAAACTCTTATGGAAATAGCAAAATTCCTGGACTTTAAAGGAGCTGCGATAAAAACCTGTGCTGCGGAAATTCAAAAATTATATACATTGTTCAAGGCTGTGGATGCAGTGCAAATTGAAATTAATCCCCTTGCCGAAACTGATAAAGGCGAAGTTATATCGATAGACGCTAAACTCAACTTTGATGACAATGCCGAATTTCGGCAAAAGGATATTTTTAGTATGGACATTAGTGAAGAAGAATCCGATCATCGGGAAGTTGAAGCCACCAAGCATAATCTTAATTATGTTGGCATGGATGGTAATATTGGCTGCTTGGTTAATGGAGCTGGTCTCGCCATGGCCACAATGGAAAGAACAAAATTAAATGGTGGAGATCCAGCCAACCTCCTTGATGTAGGAGGAGGGGTTAAAGAAGACCAAGTGTTAAAGGCTTTTCAAATTTTAACGTCTGATCCTAAAGTGAAAAGCATACTGGTGAATGTTTTTGGTGGCATAGTAAACTGTGCTACCATTGCTAATGGTGTGGTGACAGCTTCAAGAGTTTTGAATCTCAATGTTCCGTTAGTAGTTCGCCTTGAAGGTACAAATGTAACAGAGGCCCGTAAGATACTGAAAGACTCTGGATTAGCAATACAGACGGCAAGCGACTTGGACGATGCCGCTCAAAAAGCCGTTAGTGCTTTGCACTGATCCGATTATAAGACTCAAAATTCAAGGACTTTGGCTCTGCATGGTTTTTCTCTTGCACAAATTTTGCATTTGTTTTGCGTTATTTTAAAATCTCTACCATAAGCATTAGTTAGATAATTAAAATGATAGTTTAAACCTATTCTGCTCATATTTTTTGAGCAGAAAAGCCGCGGAAAAGTGTTCTTTACTACTGTAATTTATTACTTGGAACCGATTTTTTAGGAAATAAAAAAATTTTTCATGGAACATTTTCATTGTATTTCCAGTTTTTTATTTATTTCTGCAATAGACTTTTTGATTAAAGCCTTTCGAAGCTACAATCCGCGCGACACAAATGTGAAATGTGTTTGTGTTTGCATCAATTTAAAAGATTGTATTAAAAAGTGGACGAACATAAACACACGCAAACGTGTATGCATAATACAGCAAAAATTGAAACAGTCTGCAGTAAAATGAAAGATTTATTAATTTCATTAACATGTCCACCCGCTTCTGACTGACGTCAGGCTGATCTTTAATATTCAACTCGTTTTATGTCTATTGGATAATTTCTTATATTAGAGTTTTTTTAAAATTGTAAATAAAAATTTTATAAAATATAAGACAAACCAATATTTGTATTTCCACGTTCTAACACATATTCATGAATATTAATTAAAGGACCCGACACGAGTGCTCCAAGTACATCTTGCATTACAAGAACGTAAAAATACATATTTATAAAGAAATAGTTTGCGATATTTTTCACAAGCGAAAAAGCATTGTGATGTTTTCCCTTTAACGGGGGCTGGTAAATAAAGGATGAAACATGATCACACGGTGCAGCTATTTTATAATGTTTTGGGCTTCGCAGTGATTAATGCCTGGATTTTGTCCCGACGATGAGAAAACAATAAGCCATAAATACAATTTTCCTTTTAACTGACCCAAGAACATAAAATCGATACTGTGGACTGTTCCTCGGATAAATGTAGAAAAGAAATTCATTACTTTTCGTTGTCGGCTTTATTCGGCTTGGTTTAGGAGTAAGTAAGTAAGTTAGGTATAGAAGATTAGTTGAGAAGATTCAGTTGAGTCGAATGTAATTTTCTTATTTTTTAAACATACGCATACTGATTTGAGATGGCGTGGATAAACACTAAGGTGAATCGCATATTGGCTTCATATACTTAGTGTCTAAGATTCGCACAAGAGACAAATCGAAATTTGATTATCGTATATTGAAAAAATTAACCGCTAGAGTATTGCGTTAAGTTTATTTTATTTATTCAGCGATTGGATATTAAAAGTATCCTTCTTGTACGATACGGTGCTATAGCGAGATGTGATTTATCTTAATCTCAACAATTCTAAAGGAATTACAGAGGCGCCCTCTTGCGAAGCTTTCAGTTTGGAGACTTTACACTGCATTCGTTTATAACAATTATTTCTTATGTTTATAGTAAATGAATAGAAAGCACTTCTTATAGACGTTAAATGTTTCTGCAGTAAATCGTCTAAGGGAGAGAACCGAAATAATACGATGAGTGACTAATAAATTTTCCAAAACAGGAGGTAGTGCAAGTTTAGGGACTTTTCGTGTTTCTATTATCAATAACAGTCATAGCGCCATTTAACTGTATGCTCCTTCATTATCTTCGCCTGTGTGTGCAAAAAGTCTGCTAAAGTTTTCCTAATGTCACTTCATACTGCTTCAAATGTTTGCAAAGCAAAAGCATCTACATATCGGTATTATTAGGCGTATATGGGGCGTGGGTTTAAAATATCAATTAATTCTATTTGCTAGCACTTGGCAAAACTGCAAAGGGACCTTGCTCTGACTACCGTAGTGATATGAAAAATAAAATTTGACCCATTGACGAAAAAAGTTACCCACCTTGCTTGGTCTACGCATAGGCGCATAGGTACGAAAAACAACCGAAAGATTAGGTAGCAAATATAATCTGTTTTCGTTTATTTCATATAAAAAGAATTCCAAATTTTACGTTCGCCAAATCCTTCAATAAATTTTGTTGCAAATTTTCTAGAGGAATACAAAAAGAAATATTTTACATTTTATTAACATATTTCATGCAATTCTCCACATCTCCGATAAGGGGCACATTATATATGTATATTTATTTTGCACATGTCTCCTCCCTTCAAAGTAGGTTTCCGATTTATGTACCATAATTATTTAAAATGAAATATTAGACAGCACCTTAAATGAAATTATTACATAATAATACAAATGATAATATTATTGTAATGCGTATATAAATGAATATATTTTTAAAAGATTACAATTGGCTCCTTAAGTATAACTTAGATAATTTGAATTGTTTTGGTGCGAATTTCAGGGCAATTTTTTGAACCCCTTTTTATATAACCGTTTCGTACGAAAAGCTGACAAGCTGACAAGCTGACAAGTAAGAATATTGTAGTCGGTGAAGGCCGACTAGTAGTTACCCTGCACCACTTTGCCTAATAAAGTTACTCACTCGTTGTGGTAACAGTACATTAAAAGTTACAAACTATTTTCATGCGGTGGTGTCCAAAAAAATAGATCTACGTCGTCCAATTTCGGTAAGATTAATTTCGATAACAATTTACTATTATGAACTAATTTTCATCATCAAATAAAATTTTTCGCGGCGTATTTTTTTCAAAACATCTGCATATATGGTATATATCCAGAGAAATACCTTTGGGTCGGTTCTTCCGTAAAATTTCACATGCTGTTCTTGGTATTATTTACAATAATTTCCTCTGATTTAAATATATTTACAGAGACAGAAAATTTAATCGGAAAGCTTTAACGTCCGTCCATAACTGAGAACATAACATTCAGATGAAAGCGTTGTCTGAAGATATGAAATAAATTGATTGATATTAAATATTATGTTTGATATTCATACACATATATTTATACATATATGAGGTGTTTGCATTTCTGGCAGAGAAACTACGCACCGACATTTCGGATAATTAAAAATATCGGATCCCTTCGATATTTCTAATAATCACTTAATTAGAAATACATGAAGAATATTGAAAAAAGCGCTTGGAGAGCAGAACGGAAGGAGCTAAACGGATTCATTTTAAATTAAATATGGCGAACATCATGACATGTTGGACGAATTTTTCGTTAACAATTCCATCGATATGGAGCTTGGAGATTAGATGGCGAATTATAATAAACTCAAATGCATTAAATTAGTTATATAAAAAAATAATTTCAAGCAAGTTTCTATTTATTCTAAGCAATAAAATGTGGAACATAGTAGGTTAGAACAAACCGATCTTAAAGTTATTAAAATCCTAAGCGCAACACATTTTTGGAAAGTGTCAGATTGTCAAAATCTCCTCTCAATCGCGAAAGTTTCTGATGTATAAGCACAGAAATCGTACACTTTGGCGCATGTGGCGGTTCGGCAAGGTCCCATTTCGAACGTTGAAGTTCAGGTGCTCTGACATTTCAAATGTTACATATTTTTTACTTTATCCGAAGATTTGAATTACTTTAGGCCAAACTGCCTCTTTTGATGCAAATAATATTATTGTTGGTGTACGATTTTCATCTATTTAAGGGGTAGACCATTGTAAGTTTTTCAAAAAATCTGTTTTTTTTTTTTTTTGATTAATAGATGCTTTGGACATTTTCGAATTTGCGGAACAGAATTCATTACTCGATTGAACTTTTATGGCTTTTTCCGGAAGAGATCATCTGCGTACTACGCACAACTGTTGCAAGTTATAGCCTAATGTTCTATTTGTTGATTTTTAACTGCCTTAATACACTAACAGATCTCTGCAAACGGCACTTAAAACGACTTAAAAGCAAAAATGCAGCATTAGTGCAGCTTCACGAACACAACCGTTACTGAGTGGATGCGAAGCTGAGAGTGATTTGAAAGCTTTCATTGGTGTTGCCAAGAAATTAAAAGTTTGGGATCAAGTTTTTGATATTGGCCATGAGCTACGCTAATAAACTGCACAATCGTCCCGACTAATAGAAAAACATAATAAAAAATTTATTGTGAAAAAAAATATTTATAAATAATAAATAATATGTAAATAAAAATATTTATATAAAATAACAAACACGCCACCCACCTTAAGTGCATGCAATAATAAAATGACTTAAGATTAGAAGATAAGCAAGCAATCATTTAAGTATGTCTGCCTGCCCGTTTATGTAACGTCTGCTATGAACGTACGTGCACATGATCACAAAAAAAAAAAAACATGCCGGTTTTAAGTTCGGCAAAAATCTTTCAGCAGCTCGGACGATAGTAATGAGAATGAGCTTTATCGGTCAAAAGACATATAGGGAGCATATTATAAGCGCAGCGTGTTCCTCCCTTTCGGAAATCGATCATTTTGCTCCTACGAACAAAAGAGACAAATATGACAAATTTATTTTTCGGTTCCCATAAGACCAATGGTGATCCTTATAGTAAGCCCTGTATCCAAGCATATTCGATGCAAATAGATGTGAATGATTATATAATTTGACACAGGACTGGGTGTAGATGAAAATTTTTTTTTTATTTTACAAAAGAAGTCTGCGAAACAAATAAGATCATTATAGTTGAGGAAGGCCGACCGTTAAATACTCTACAACACATTATTTAACACAATTCTTATTTTTATTACAGAACACAAAAATTATATCTGGTTTCTATATAAATTACAGCAACAAAGCCTAGTCTGCACCTTCTTATGATGGAAGCAACTGTACAATGATAAAATCTTTGACAGATAAACTAAGTTTTCTGAATTGAGGACACGTCGACGTTTGGCTATCCTCCAATATGGGGACTTTCGTGAATATTATAAATTGATATAAAAATATTGTATAGTTTTTGACGCATTATTAATTAAGAATATTCGTGTAGAATATCCAGTGGTTGGTTTAGTCGATCTATAGCATTCTCAACTGTTAAGATTCATATTGAAACATAAAGGCGTGCATAAAACTTCTTATTTTGTCACCGGTCAAGTTAGATTCAATTCGTAGCATATATCATGGGCGGGCTTTCTAGGAAAATCGATGATCTTCTGTGCAATCATCATTGGCTACATGGAGCAACGTCCCACCTGTGGTGAAACTAATCTCGTCAACACTTACTCACATTTTCTTTTGGATGTCACAGGCAGTATAATTTGTACTCTATCGGTGTAATGCTGGCAAGAGAGAGAGAGAGAGAGAGAGAGAGAGAAGAGGGAGTAAGTTGCTTGCTAATTTACTTAGTGTGGTGTAAAACGTTAATATAT